ATTAGTACAGTGATCTGTCTGGTATAATTTTCCACTGCTTACTGTACTTAGCAGTAGCTTAGGTATCTTTAACCAGCATTGTACTGTGCAGTATCGTCATACTCTGTAATCCAATTCATTTATTCCTAGGACCAGTGTGATTGTCTCTCTCACCTCTTTGATATCATGGACTGAAGAATTGCCCAAGCCTCTGTTCTAGTCTGAGCTAATCAGTCTAGATGGAACTGGCTGTATTTTCATCTCTTCAAGTTCTAGATTCATTTTTCTAGAGAAAATGTTCCAGGCTCATTGTCTAATCCAGATTCAGAATGATGCTTCTTGGCTTTGCTATGCTACGTAACTCCAAGCATGGCCTGTTTTTCATAAGAGTTCAGAATATGAGAAAAACCTTCTGAAGGAGAGAGAGACAAGAGAGGCTATCAGCTAAAGGAAGAAGGGAAGGCAGGTCCTCCTGTCCCTGGGGCCTCTGGGTTGTGACTGCAGAGAAATGGGCTGGGAGGTGCACGAACCAGGCAGCAAGGAGAGCACGCCTTAAATGTGGCATTGCCAAAAAGCGTGTCTGGTCTGGACTTCACATGTGCATAAAGGGCACTGGCCTTAACCAGGTTATAAACAGTCCTTCTCTTTCTGAAGTGCAGGTTTTACTGTTGAGACAAGCGTGTGCCATGGTTGCAGGAGGCGGCCGTGAGCTCCTCAGAGGGCAATGGTTTGTAAGCAAACTAGCCATAAATACATCAGCCAGTGGATTAGTAAGTGGTGTGGGTGGGTGTAGGACATGTGCATACATATACATACAGACATGCATACACATGCATTTCTGTCTCTGCCAAGCTTATGCTAAGTGGTATCATTGAAACAAACTGCCAGATGAGTTAGGATCTTTGGGTGAAAGTGTGTATGTTTGAAAATACGGCAATAACAACATTTCCTTTGAACAGACCACTGTGTAAAGCTACCATTGCATTGCAGAGGCTCACCAAAGAGCGGGCTCTGATCAATCTGTGTGCTGAATCTGGTGAAACAGGTCTGCAAATGGAATTTGTTGGTGAACTGATGGTAATTACATTGCAACTGAAGGCAGCTTGCAGACTTGAGGCTCAACTCAAAAGTCTGAAGCAGATTTACTTATCATTACTGCTGCAAAACCTCCTTCACTTTGAGTTGGTTTCACACTGCTCTGAGAAGAAGGAAGAGGTAAATTTGGAAAGAGAGGGATAAAGTGTATTGCCTAAAAATCAGCATTTTAACCTTCCTCACTACTTGCGAGCAGTGGCTTTCGTTTTTGAGCACAGATTATAGAGAAATGCTGTTCTAACAGAAAAAAATCACAGATTTCAAAGGGAGAGGAAGACTCTGGGTGTACTACAGAAGAGTAGCATGCAAAGATGTGATACAGAGATACAATACTTAAAGAAAAAAGTAGTGAGCGTCTATGGGCTTGATCCAAATGCCTACTGAAACTGATTAGAGTCCTTCCCCAGACTTCAATGGGATCAGGCCCCTGATATTTCATAAACACAGATATATATTTAAAATTATTTAAGAAAGTTAAGATGATAGAGAGATTGTCAATTTCCAGCAGTGGTGGTTAGATAGTGTAACACCCTCCTCCTAAGAGATGCTACATCAAGATGATCAGGGAATTATGTGCATAAAATAAATCCTCAGGCTTCAAGATAAGAACACACTGCACTTTCTTGCCATATGGTTCAGACTAAAATTTCTTGCTAGCCCAGCTCAGATTCTCTTCCTTCTCCTTCCTGATATGTTCCAGCTGAGCTCAGCTATTCCTGGGCTGGTTCTAAGCATATTAAGAAAAAACTATGTCAGTGCCCACTGTATTTTATTTTCTGCAATCCGAGCTACACAGGCAACCAAACCCTTGTGATGCTTGCTGTTACACTCTGCTGGTGTCCCGGTGTCCCCGTCAGCACCTTGGCTCTGCCCATGTGCAGCCAGGAGCAGAAGAGGGACCTCACTCTGCTCTCTGGGGGGGTTTCAGCAAAAGCTGAGCCTCAACATAACTGTGCTCACACTGGAATCAGTCAGAGCTTTGTTGTATGGGAGATTTAATGTTGACTTCAGCAGAACACTGGAAAAATCTCACAGGAAATAGCTGATTAGAGAAAAGTAGTAGATTAGGTCAAAGTGAAGAGAAATCTTCTCATTCCATTGGGATAGATGATTTTGATCAATTTTTTGCAGAGGCCAGCGTGGCGTGTCTCTATTTTACATGAATGAGGAGAGCGAGGTGAGGGCGGGGGTGCGGGAAGGGAAAGAGGAAGCAGTTAATTTGACTGAATAAAGATAAAAGAATGCAAGAGCCACCGAGTTTGCTGTTTATCTGGACATTGTGTAATGTTGCAGAATCAGATGTGGCTCTCTGGCTTTTGCACAGAAATGCCCAGGGAGAAATCCAGCCTTACTGCTATGAATAATGAATTTTTTAGAGGGGACTTCCTGATGTTTTCTCCTCCCCACAAGGTATCCACTTTGCAAGCAAATTTGTGGCACTCTGGGCTTCCTAAATATGTTCCTTTGATCTGAGGAATTAATATTTGCTTCCACCCCACTGCAGGGCAAAAAAAGGGCATGGAAATGCCTGGGTGCCTTAGCATGGAGACGGTCCTTTCAGGGGATAGTATGGGTGTTTGGCTGAGGCAAGAGCCCAGACAGTCCAAATTCCTCCAAAGTTAACTTAATCCTTTTTGGGTGGGATGGAGGTCTGTCATTTGGAAACAAAGGAGGGAGGAGAAAGCTGCAGAGGTTATAATGAAGAGCAAAGCCCTGGGATTGTAGAAGGTCTGTGAGGTCCCACCAGGTCTGAATTGATTAGTATTCAGTATTTATAATATCTTCATAATGGTAAAACAAAAGAAAACAAGCCCAGAGAATGCATTTTTAATCATCAATCACTGCTCTTTGTTTGTCATGAATGAGCAGCAAGGGGAAATAGTCTCCATAATCACCTCCCTTCACATCTCCTGCCACACAGGCCTCGCTGGGTGTGCTAAAAGGGAAATAAATAAACAAGCAGCAGATCTCAAAATAAATCCCAGAGACATGGGTGCTACGTGGGTTATCAGACCCGCACACAGGGGTCTTGTTGAGGATACAAAGCGAGGGAAGGGCATTTACAAAGCATAGAATCAAAGACAAAGCATTAAATGCAAGAAAAAAAGGAGGATTGGAGTTACAGAGGGGCAGCAGGTGAAGGAGGAAGCTTTTCAGAGAATGATCGGTGGTGGAATAGTGACCAATAGCACGTCAGAATAGGGACTTCTCATGGGAAGTACAATATTAGGATGGAAAGCTTGAAAAGCATCAAATCTAAAAGAATTTCAGTATCTGAGGATCATGTAATTTTAGGATTTCCACATGAAAAAAATTATTTTTCTCAAGAATAACATTTGTGCTAGGAAAAAAATATTGAAAAGCCCATTGTTTCTATTAGGAGCCCCCAAATCCATGTCTTATCAGGGACAGCACTATGCTGAACTTCTCCAATGGGATCCCTGCTTTGATCTTGCAGCAGTTCTCACAGGGCTTTTATTGTAGTCCCAAACGCCTCTCGGGAGGAAGGGAAACATTATAATTCTCCCCTAATAAGTGAGATAACAGGCTTCTGGGAGGGTAAGGCCCAAATTTTCTAAAGCATGGCTGGTGACTCCACACCCACTTGGTGCGTTTAGATGAGTGCTCCCAGCGTGACAGGAGCCCAGAGCCATCAGATCAGCCTGTAAGGAACAGACACGCTACATCTGAATCCTATTGAAAAATAATAAAAAGGTAATGACTTTGTCATTACTGGACATGGGTTTGTCTGTTGGCGAGGGGGGAGGAAGGGGAGGTTTTCTGCATTCAGGCTATAAATAATGTTTCCCATTATCCTGTGCAGTTCTCCTGCATTCCTTACGCAGCCCTTGGTTTGCCTCCATCCCACTGGGCCAGTGTGAAACTCCCACACCATCCTGCAGGCTGGCATGCACTGCCAGACAAGGGAGAGGGCCAGGAGTCCTTGTGTCTGTGAGCCAGGCCAGCGTGACCCACGGAGACACCGAGCAAGACAGAGATAATCCAGTCACCTCCTCTTGCCTGGACATAGGCGCAGGTGACCAAACGGAAGGGGCTCAGTTTCAGAAAAGTCCATCAATAAATGTTCCCTGATGGAAGTGTTCCGTGATAGCCGGGACAGGGAGTGTGGAAGGGTCATTGTCTTGTAATTAACTCAGCTCCGGGCACTAACAGCACCGCCTTAGGCAATTGAGACTCGGTTGCAAACCATGACTTTGAAGAATTTTAAACCATGTATCAAAACCATGTATCAAACTAAATTGCACTAGCTCTGTCTTTAACCAAATTCAGGGCTAATATTTGCACTGTTTAGGTGGAGACACTCAAAATTGCACATCTCAACTCAGCAGGTGAGGTTTGCTGGTGAAATGCTGAAGGGAGGGACCTCAAGAGCTGCTGGAACCTATCAGGAAAATTGCAGCATTTAAACTAAAGGTGTGTTTTTAAGTCAATAGCCCAAAATGTAGATGCCTACATGGATATTTTTAAAACTGCCTTTATATAACTAGCTTGATATAATTAAGAGCTGATTTAAGCTCAAACAAAATAACTCCATCTTGCACCCAAATTGAAGTCCCCACACTGAGAATTGCATCTGCTGAACTAAATTAGTCAGAAAATCAGGGCAACTTTATGCTGTAAACAGACGTAGAGCTGTGGAGGATATTCCAGTTCTGTGTCCAGCTCTGCCACTGATTCACTGTGTCCCTAGGCAAGAGTCTTAGGTTTTCCATCCATAAAGTGTAATAAAATCTATGTAGGTGCCAGGTGATGTAGTGCCTAATTAATTAGTAAATTAATATAATGAACTTGAAGGTCTGTATCAGCACAAATGAATTGTTAATATAAATTTTTATTATTTATTGCTATTTAGTTGATTATTTTCTAACACAGACGGACAATTACAAACATACGTCACACTTGAATTCCAGTTTTATTATTGTTGTTGATTATTTATTATTGTTTCCTCCTATATTTATTTGTTACCTTTAGTAGTCTCTCTTAGGACTAAGCCCCAGACCTGTGGATGTTACCCAGACACATGGAATAGTGAAGTCACTGGGAAATTTTGGGGCAGAATTGGGGTTAAATGCAGGATGTTTCTTGTTAAGTGTCAAGTCTTTTGCTTGAACCTTTATGTATATTTGAGGCAAATAAAACAGGTAAGGACAGATTCTGAGCAGGGCAAATTCTTGTACACACTCATTTATTCCAACCAAAAGTCAGTATCAGTCTGTAGGCCTTTAATTAGGTCCACAAGGTTTCAATATTTATATAACATACCTACATACTGATATTAATCATGTGTATTTCCAAGCAAAGACGTTTCAAAATGCAGAGCCTGATCCTCTTCAATATAAATAATTCTTGCCCCAGTAGTGCCAGTGTGAAGCAATGCCTCCTCTGCACAGAGGATTTGGAGCAGGGTACGATGGGGATCTAACCAATTTCTTCTTCTGAAATGGGCACATGCAAAGAAATAGTTGCCTGTGACAAAAAGGCACTTGACAAAAATGACCATGTGATACTCCTTGATTACTTGTGCCACTCCAATGATAAAATATGGAAGTGGATAATATTGTACTTGCAACTGAAAAAAATGCCTCCTCCTCCTCTGCAATTACTTTTAATTTTCCATTATGAAACTAAGTAAATACACAGGCTTTTTATAGTGCATGTCTGAGTGATTTCTTCATTCTTCCAGTGAGTTGTGAAGCAGGATCAGAGGTCCTGGACAGCACCCTGCTCTGCACTGGGTTTGGAAAATGTCACTCCCGTCGCCTTATGGCCCTTGGGTAGTCCACATGGCATAGGTGACTGGGCCAGTCCAGTTTGGTAGTTTGGTCAGTCTAGACCTCATCCAGCTCCTCATTTGCTAGAGATTAAGTGCTTCTTTGAGGAATTAATGTGGCATGTAGGCCTATGGAAAGCATGTCACCTGCTCTGAGCGGGCGGGAACACGGCATCTCAGCCTGAGTATTGCCATGAGCCTCAGAGCTACAGCAAACACCTTTGCATTCCTTCTTCTTCCCTTCTGCTGAAAGCAGGGTGACCTGAGGACAAAGTTAGAACCCTCAGCATGTATTTCTCTGCTTATGGCATTTTAATTCATGCCCTTCTCATGTTGTTTTAGCATCATTTTTCTTGTGTGAGTAATTTTTAAGGGTATGCAGTTTTCTCTGGCTGCACTTGCACAGCATAGCCAGATGGAGTGTTCTGGGGTATGTGCTGGGTGTGACTAAAATGCATTAGCCTCTACTCTGCAGCAAAGACATAGCCTGTATGCTTGATGCACAGCTGTCCTGTCATCAGTCCAAGTGTTTGGCTCACTTCTGTGCTGAATGACTTGTATTACCTCCTCATGCTCACATCTCACTGCTGCCCAGCAGCTCACAAGGGGATTTGACAGACACCATGTCCTGCATGTCTACCACCCACCCCACTCCACAGTGGAAATGAGGGTTCTGAGCAAAAGCAAAGCAACTTCTATGAAGTTAGGCTTAAGAGACAAATTTCTAGGTTTAATCAAGAATTGTGGACAGCAGACAACCTAACAATGAGTTTGAATGCTATTATTGCTAATTGCTGAATGATAAATAGCAAAAATGTGTCCTGCAACTTCAGCCCATGGAAATTCATTTGAAATATGTAGCTCAATAGAACCAATATCTTATGGGCACCAAGCTTGCAGTGTGCAGGATGTCCTCTCCCCAAGGGCAGCAACTAATGGCATCACTACATGCTATGGTAGCTAAAGAAAGGCTGGGAATAGATGAAACCTCTTTGGAGATGGAGGAGTGTGTGGAACCTAAGCTGCCAATGATCTTGTGCCACTGTTTGTTAAATGATCAGGCAAGCAGGAACTACTGAAGATGGGAGCCATAACTGTGTGAGGGCTCACAGGTTTAGTAAATGCCAGCAAAGAAAACTATAAGAGGAAAGGAAATGAAAGTAATGTCCAAGATTCCTTTTGGATTTTTTTTCCACTGTTGTGTTGTATGCTTGAAACAAAAAAGAGCAAAACTGAGAGACATTTTCCATAGAGATCTTTGGTTAAGGATCTTCAATCCCAATGAGAGACATCATCTGGTTCAAGATGAATCCCAAGCAGTGGACATGGAACCCCCATGGGCAAGAACAAAACTGAATCTGTACTGAAGCATTCTGGCTTGCCAGATGCATCTCAGTCAGCTTCTGTTTGAGGTTTATTGTTGAATTTTCCGGTACTGTTAAACCTGCTGAGAAAATAAATCACATTTTAGAGGAAATCGGAATGCAATTGGGTATGTTCAAAATTAGCAAAAGGCTTTTGAGATCGCCCTGCTGATGGCCATATTGCTCCACTGATGGGCATGTTGCTCCTTTCTTGGTCTGTGTTTCAGACCCACTTTTCTGACAGATGCAGATGCCAGCACTTTTGGTTTGGGGGCAGTATTGACACAAGAACACAAAGGACTTGTGAGGGTGGTGCCTTATTACAACACTAAATTAGCTGGAGAGAGATTACTGCACCACTTAAAAGGAACCCCCGCAATGGTTAAATCTATAGAACATTTTCATCCACTGTTCAACACGGAAGTAAAATTGCTTTGGGTTGATGACAGGAAGATGCTGCATAAATAGTTAAGTATGCATCATTTGCAATTTGCTAAATTATATTCTTTCTATCTAGAAGGGGCTGTGTAAGGTGTCATTACCTCCTGCTCTATCTGGCTGAGGAGCTGCACACTCTGGGGCTCGTACAGTGAACACCAGGGGCTGACTGGGCTTTGGGTGAGCTGTGGTCTGGAAGGAGACTCAAAGCTGCCGAGGCACAGCTCACAACGGTGTCCGAGCCTCCCACCACGTGCAGGGGAGCACAGGCAGAAGAGGATCTGTGGTGACAAACAGGACCACCTCAAAAGCCCTTGCCCAAGTGCTCCTCCTAAGTAGGCCAGCTCCACAGCACTTCAAAATTAGCAAACTTCCAAACAAAAGAAAGACCAGTCTGCGTTCAACACCCTAGATGAGAGAAATGCAAAAACATGAACAAGAGAAAATAGTAAGTAAATGCAATTAAAAGTAACGATGCAGGTTTAATTAAAGGGCCCTATTCTCCCAACCCTTCATTCTTCAGGGATGCCTCATAAGCAAGAATTCATAGCTTGGGATCTGCTCTCTTTTACTTTTGTAAGAAGTTGGAACATTTCCTTTCAGAAGCATATGGGTTTTAACATGGCAGTGTCTCTCCAGCATACCAAACTCAAGAAGTTTGCTGGTTGTATTTTCAGCAATTTATAAATACTTGCTACAATTATTAACAGTTTCACATAGTCCTATTTACTTTAATAATCCCACTTTCATGTATTTTTTCTTGCTTTCTTACTGTGAACAGGTAAAAACAAATAACTACAGAATGACAAATCCCAAACAATATACAAGTATACAAAAACTCAGATTTTGCAAACATACTGGCACTATAAACATTATTTCCACAAAATATGTCTCTGCACTATAAGTTTGGCCTGGTTAGTAAAAGTCTAGTCTTTACAGGGACCTAAATATTTAACTCAATTGATGCATATTGCTAAACTTGACTGCTCAAAATTCATGAGTCAGACTCCACTCCTCCCTGAGCTGCCAAATCACAGGAATTTCACAAAAGCCATTAAAAATTTATTTCTTTGGAAGTTTCCTATTTGTTCTCTGGCTTCTGAGGCTTTTGACAGCACTAGGCCACATTTCCAAGTGTCCTTGTGTCGAGGCAAATGCTAGAAACAAGTCATTCCAGGAGCTGGGAATCAAAAGAGAACACCAAATATTGGAAGACTCACAATAAAAGCTCAAGACAAGACCTGGCAGTGGTCCCACACACGCTCATGTATGTGAGTCACTTTTACTCACATGAGTAGTCACATCAAAATCAGAGGAATTAGCCTATTATTATTAATTATTATTATTATTTATGTGTGTAGCAATAGCACATAGGACTTGTGGTTATGGAGCTGGGCCACATTGTGCAAGGCACTGACAAATCCAGAGCAAAACCATGGTTTCTGCCCCAAAGAGCTGATGGTGTAAACACCAGACAAGAGGCAACAGGTGGAGACAGACACAGACAGGGAAGCACATGGGAAGAGCAAGACACTCCTGCAAGGGCTTCTGTGTGGGTGTGCTGATGTGGAGTTCCCTGCTGCCAGTGAACAAAATTATCCAAGAGCGTTCAGGTTTGCCTAGCTGCGGCCCAGGGCCCAAATCCTGCAAGCCCTGGAGTGGAGGCAGATCCACCCCACAGCCCTTGTGCCTGGGCAGGCAGGCAGCTGCACCTCCAAACCCCGGTGCTGAGCATGGTGCCAGCGAGCCCAGGCTCCTAGCGCCTGTAGAGGCAGCCAGGGGGTGACAGAAAAGGTCTCTGTGGATGCTTCTGTGGAATCACCGCCACAAAATGTGCACATGCAACTGTAATGTATACTCACTGTCTCGGTGAAATGAAAGGTGGAGCTGGGGAAAGTAGTTTAACACAGAAATGTGATGCCTGCCTGCTGGAAATTCAGGTGCGTGAGAACTCTTGTCTCTGATCCTGCAAAGACATCTCCCAAAACCAGCCTAGTCTACTCATAGAGCCAAGGCTGCTCATAGCTTGGCATTTTTGCTAGGATCCAGACCCGAAAAAGTTAGTCCTGTGCGCAACTGCCGGCAAAGCCAGCACAGCCAAACTGAGAAATGCTACAGTTGTAGATCTGAGACAACAGTTCTAAACTTGAGTGAAATCAGAAAAAGAACATTAGCAAAAGAAAAATACTGAAGTTTAGAAGTTTGTAAAATAGCAACTGAACATCACGCCTAGGAAAACCAGCAGAAGAATAAAGCGGTACACACAACCTAGTTATTCGCCATCTCCATGGAGTTTAGTCTCAGGGAACTAAGGTGAACGGGGTCAGCAGACTGCAAAATAGAAAATTTTATAAAATTTACAGTGGTTCTCTGGGAAGGACGACGGATGGGTAAGAGGAACCGCTAGTGCAGGAACAGGGCAGGGGACAGGCAGCTGCGCGCGCGGGCAGGGAAATGGGGACACTTTCTCGCCTTTTCCCTTGCCAGGGGAGGGTGATCCAGTCCGTGTTTTGCAGGTGCCTCTCCCTTGACTGCCTGCCCTGCCTGCCTGGAGATCGAGTCCGCTCCGTGCCCGCTCCCTCCCGCCGCTCCCCCCTTCCCCACCCCGGGCGGGCCGGGGCGGGCGGCGGCGGGCTCCAGGCCGGGTTTTGCGCGACGCCCGCCCTCCTGTTAGAAATAGGAAAATTCAATAATCAAAGCAAAGGGGAGCGCGAGGAGGAAAAATCCGGGATCAGGGCAAGTTTGATGGCGCATGCGCGCTGCTGCCTCCATCCCAAACACACACACATTTCCCTTGACTTGGAAAGTCAACCAAAGCAGCCCCAAGTGCAGGTAAGCCCGTCCGCTCCCGCCCGGCCCCGGCCCCGCCGCCGGCAGCCCCGGGGCCGGGGCGCTGCGCGGGCGGGTGGGGGGCCGGCGGCGGCGGGGTAGCGCCGTGCCCGCTCGGCGGCGGAGCCGCGGCCGCGGCGGCGCCCGTCAATTTCCAAGACTTTGGCAGGAGCCCGGGCAGGGGACGGGGGAACACGTGCTCCCGCTCCGCGCCGAGGGCAGGTAACCGCAGCCCCGCCGCGCCGCACCACCCGGGGGTCCCGGCGAGGCACTGAGGGGTGGGACGGGAAAGGCGGCAGCAAAGTTGGGCGAGCGGCAGCTGGAGCGCTCCGCGGACAGGGCCGGGTGCGGCGGGGCGAGCCGTGCCGGGGAACTTTCTGCAAAGTGGCCGGGCCGGGGTCGGCAGCGCTTCTCCCGGCGCCCGCAGCGGCACGGCCGCAGCCCCCCGGCGGGGTCGCGGTGGGCAGGGGCCGCGGCGGCCGGGAGCGCGGGTCGGGGCAGCCGGTGCCCGGCCCCCCGGGCGAAGCAGCAGGTTATTTTTACCCGGTGGTATTTGCAGAATGTGCAGCTGATTTGCCATCCGGAGCCAGGAAGTTTCCCCCTTCCGCCTCCTTCCCCTTTCCCCCTTTCTTTCCCCCGTGCGCGGCGGGGTAGTGGCAGGCGGGGGGACGAACGACCGGGGTGGCAGCGGGTGGGGGGTACGGGCCGGGACTCCCGGGGGAGCGGCTGCCCGCGCTGGCGGCTCTGGGGACGGGGAACAGGTGTCCGAGCCGTCACTCATTAGCCGGGCCGGTGGGGGGGCGCGGGGTGCGGACGGGGAAGGCGAGGAGCGGCGGCGTGCTGGGGCCCCGAGCGCCGCCGGCCGCGGAGCAGCAGTGCCGGGGAGCAGAGGAGCAGCGAGGGGCGGCCGGGGCGCAGGGCAGAGGCGGCCCGCAGCGGCGAGCGAGCTGTCAAGGGGCTCGGGCGGGCGCGGGACCGGCGCTGCCGCTCGCCGGCGGGCAACTTGTGCGGCAAACTTTGAGGGGTGGGCTGCGGCCCGAGGCCGCTCCGAATCGCGGCAGGTCGGATCGATGGGCTCGAGCCCTCCTGCTCTTTGGGGTCGGAAAGGTGAAACTTGTCAGGAGCTGCACGTCCACCTTGTGTGTGCCCCCTCCTGTCCGCGCTGCACTGCACAGCGGGTCCTGGCAGCTCGCTCCCTGGAAGAGCAGTAGTAGTAGCCCCTGTCTCTCCCAAAACTTCATTGATGAATTTATTTCCTCTATTGATTTGCTGACTGTCAGGGTGGTATCATTTCTTGCGAAGGTTTCGGACTTCTCATTTCAGAAGTCCTGCCTGCTTCCCATCTACCTTTTATCTGTGTGTCGCTGCCACCTTGTTAGCTACCCTAAAGGTGGCTTGGAAGAGTTTATGGGAGAATATTGTTGAACTTCAGTAATCAAGTTTCCAGATCTTATGCCTCCTGTTTAATTTATTAGACTAGTTATTTATTCTGTTGATGATAATCTGTGCTGGTTTCTATGGAGATGTTAAACTGATCTCTTTCAGAAATCAAACTCCATATGCACTAAAACGTTTAAAGGAGCAGCGTCCCCTTTTGTTTTCAGACTTTGTACCTTTTCAGTGCTTTTACTGGGCTCCTGTATATTTTATATATTAAAGCCTGAAGTTGAAGCTTTGAGCAAGACAGAACTTATTATGGCTAACAGAAAGTCAGGGCTTTGATCCTTTTTTTTGCATCATCATTTAAAACAGATCATTTTTCCCCCCTCATCACACAAGATAGCAGAACCCTTTCAAGATCAAAGCGTCCAGCTAAAAACTATTGTTTAAAAAAAAAAAAAAACACCAACAGAAAAAGAGACAGTTAAATTAGGGGGATGTTTCCTTAATCTGCTTATTTTGTTCTAAAGGTTTTTTTTTTTTAGCTTTGTCAACACAACAACAACAGAAACTTGTGGCAACTATATTGTTATTTTTATACCTTCCAAGTCTTTTTAAAGTTAAAATAAGTTCAAAGTCAAATATCTCCAAAGATAAAGTGCTTGTTAGGGTGTTTTTATTACTTGGTTTCTAAATGTGGAAGGTCAGAATCCAGAAAGCTACTGCATTAGAGAAGGTTTTAATAGTCTTTGTCTCATCTTAATGAGAGAGCAATCTAAAAAACATTTTCCCTGCAACGTTTATAAATTATTTCAAAGAAGTCTCTCTGCATATAACTCAGTTTTCATTATTTCTTAACTTGTCCATTGCATTATTACATGTGATTCAGTGTGATATCACTTTTAGAACTAAAGTAATTGAGGTGAGAAATTTTTTTTATGCTTAAAATTTGAGAAGTCCTGGTAAGCCGGTGTTGATTAGGCTGATGCACAGTATACACCAGTTGTGGGTTTTTTGCTCATCTTTTGGAGAAAAGTTCAAAGATTTGCAAAAAATATACTACCAACATAATGCATGTTTGACACAGTAAAAGAACCCCTTGTTGTACTTTCTTTTAGTGTATCTTCAAAATGTTTCCACTCCCTAAATGAGAAATGTTTTTCCTCTTGGTGCACTTGTATACAGATCCTAAAAATAATAATCCTAGAGGAAATAGGGTATGTAACTCTTATTACTCATATATAATTGTGTGTGTATATACATTTATATTTCACATATATAGGTATAGATATATATATATATATATATATATATATGCATACATACACATATATGGAAAACATCAAGTGATTTATGATCTGTCCATACTAGACTTAAATATTTTTTCCTTGTAAATTGTTTCCTTTTTTTTCTTTTTTTTTTCCTCTCTGTGTGTGTGTTTGTGTGTGTGATTTGATGTGCAGGAGATCATTTAAAATTTTTTGTAAGTATTCTGTTTATTTGTTTGATTTGAATTGCAAACAGAATTTACTCTGACAAGTAAAAAGAGGAGGGGGAAAAAAGGAAACACTATGGCTTTAAACTCAGGAGTTTGCATATTCTCCTTGTATCTTTCCCCTTTGCTAATTATTGTGTTGTTTTCAGAGCAAATATGTCATATCCATGGCGACCAGGCAGGTTTATTGTCTTTCAGAAGCAATAGCTCACATAAGTAATTAATGACTTCTTTTTTTTTCCTCTGGCTTAGGTTAAACAGATCATTCAAGGAAAGTCATATCTCTCTCTCCTTCTCTCTCTTTTTTTTTTAGCCCAGTGACATAAGAACATGAGTTAGAACAAGAAAATACTTTAACCAAGAAGTCAACAGCTTATTTTTCCTCATTTCTTTTTAAAAGATCTAAGTGTCAGCTTTCCACACACATGACATTGTCATTCTTGCAGTTTCAGAGCGAAGCCTTTGTACAGGGAAAAGCCACTGAAAGCTGGAGTTAAGTTGGTGTTGTACAGCTGAGCAAAGTGTCTCTGGGTGCATGTGGCGGGATGTTCTTCTTGCTTAAGGGTTTTGCTGTGTACTGGGATAAAAATGTTTCCCTCGCTTTTCCCCCCTCCCTCCAATTCTATCTGTATTAAAATCAGTGTTAAAATAAAGGTGTGTTTTTGTATCTTGCAGATTGTAATTCAAACAGTTTCCAGGAAAGAATTAGTAATTCATTTTTATATACAGCATATATACACACATGCTTGAGCTCCACCCAAAACAATCAAGCTAGCTGGAAAAAAAACCTTATTTCCTTTTTCTTTTCAAGCCCAAGCAAACTTGCACAGTAACTTTCAAAAGCTTATTAAAAATAGCCCCCCATTTTTGCAAGGAGTTTGCTGCAGGTATGAATCTTGTTCTTTTCCTTTCCAACTCTGTTTCTTCCTATTAAAGCTGAATTTGCTATCTGTCCAAGCCAGAGGCTGGTTATCCACTATGATTTACTGAGGTGATGGTTGCCCCCTCCCACACTCCCCCCAGCAACTTCACCCCCGTTTTGTTTTTGCTAATTTCATTTTCAGAAGGATTTATACACAGTCCAGCTATATAAATTCCTTGGGAGATAAAAGCGCCACACACTTCCATAAACAAAGGCTTTTACTCGCATCCTGTCTTCCTTTTTTTCTTAAAGTAAAAAGGAAAAAAAAAAAACCCTAAAAACAAAACCCCAAGCCATCTGATTGAGGCAGGTATCATAAATGCATGCTGGTAATGATTCTGTATTCCACAATGCTGCTACTTTAACTTTTAAAATATGTTTCCTTTCTGGTTTGTAACATTAATCAAAGAGCCGCTTCCTTCCAAATTTCCACAGACTGGGGCTAATTAGAACCACTCGAATCACATTTTGTAAATTCCATGTGGATGTTACTTTAGGATTCAAGATTGCTTCAGGTTTAGTCTGGCTAGGCACTCTTAAGGTTGGTTATTTTTATTAACGTTTCTGTCTCCCAAACCAATTCAGGGTTTCTGTCCATTTATCCCAAATAGATTTGTGGGTTCACACACAGCGGTATGTCGGAAATAGACGTTACAAGTAGGAAAAAGAAAAGCCGAGAAGGAAGGAGATTTTGCATTGTAGTTCCAAAGAGCAGCAGAGAACCTCCTAAGTAACGTGAAGCTGAGGATTCAACAGACTTGATAATTGAGCCCTTAACCTTCTGATGTCTGTATCAGAAAAACAGAGTCTAGAAGAGGGAGACAAAGAATAAAAGCAAGTACTGGATAGGAGGAAGCTGAGGAGATGACTGAAATACTGAGGTATAGTTCGGGATATGTACAGATCAGTATTATGATGTTTTCTTAGGCTCAGTTTTTCCCTCTGGTGAAACGTAGCTGGTTTAAAGGTGGCTTCGGGAGAACCTGATGTTTCCAGTGCAGCCGAGAGGCTGGCGTTTCTGTGGTGTGTGCAGATGTAACTTGGAGAGACTTCTCTTGCAATTTGTGTTTATGTTTCCCTCTTTCCTTTTGTTTTTGAAGGACTCACTAGTGATTTTTTAAAAAATCTTTATGGAAAGTTAAATAGCTAGAAGTTGGAAGTTTTCAGGTTGTGATTATCAGGCTGTGCTAAAGGGATTTGAATCTCACCACTTTGAACATCCGACAGGGTGACTGTTTCCATGCTCTGGTGTAGCGTTTCTCTCCCGTACATTTCTTGTACCTAAATAGGGTATCTAAGAAATAGGGGGCAGTTGGCTTGCACAGATATCTCAAAGTTAACTTGCTTTTGGTGTATAAGACCGCAGCTTCAAAGAAAAGCAAGGGTGCATCATAAATTTTGCTAAAATTAATCAACCGTTTAAGAGCTCCACATTAACAAGGTTTTCCAGGCAAGCAGCTTTCTTTTCTTCTTCTTCTTTTTCATTCAAAGTCTGAGAGGTTTGAGGTAGAGGAGGGGGGAACATGAGTAAGAAGAGGAAAGGAATGGAATTTGAGGAGAAATAATAAAAACAAAAAAGGCTGGATTTGTAGAATATAAATCCTCATGTGTCCTTGATCCATATTGTCAGGGGGTTTTTTGGTGGGTTTTTTTTTTTTTTTTTTTTTTTTTTTTTTTTTGGTCGGATTTGTCCTGTGTGCCTTTGACGGAAAAGGCACGTAGAGAGAGAGAGAGAGAGAGCGCGACAGAGGGGGAGAGAGAGACGTGTCACTGCTTTGGAGCTCATTATCATTCTTAATAAGTCTTAAGGAATAAAGAGGAGCATTGAGTGTAAATGCTGGGTAATCCTAACACTCCTCAAGGTGAGAGGAGTCTCGAGGACACAGAGAAAGAGAGTGAGGAGGAGGGGGCTACTGTGGGAGCAGGAGAGGAGCTGTGGATGGAAGTGATTTTCAGGGGAGGGGGCCCAGCTGAGCAGGGCTCTGCCTCTGGGACGCTCTGGGCTCGTTCCACGGGCCTGTGCTGGGGCAAGTTGTCTCCAAGTTTGCGTCCCAGAGATCTCGCAGGTTTGCACCCGAGCAACCCAGCTGGACCTTGGGCTGAAATGTTGGCCTGTAGTGATGCCGTTCTCTGGCGGAGATGAGCTCGAGAGGAGCCGGCGGCCAGGCTGTCAGCCCCGGCCGAGCAGAGGGGCCGCGGCCCAGGCGGGTGCTGCCTTTGCCGGGCCCCGCTTTGCCGGGCTCCGCTTTGCCGGGCTCCGGCTTTGCCGCCTGCTTCCTGGGCTCGGGGTCGCTTGTCAGTCCGTGCAGCCTGTCCTTTGCTACTTTCCGCGTCGGTCAGGTTGGACGTCTCAACTCCCGTTCGCCTGTTTCCTGAAGCGTCTCCCTGCGCGGCTCGGACACTAGGTGGCTTAAAGCACAGGCTCGGCTCCGCTCTGCTGGCAGCTGCCAGCGTTCATTCACTCTTTCTGGTGGGCTCCCTTATTCAAACTTCAGGCTGACAGCAAAACATGGAGATGTCTTTGAATGTGGATTCAGATATCGCACGACCTCCTCGGCAGTGTGTTTGCAGTCGCGTTCGGGGATATGAGCC